TTTTTTTCTCCTTCCCAATTTTCCATCTGGTCTCTCCCTAATTCTTTTACTATACCATCCTGAAAAAATGGAACTGAAACGTCTCTATACCTGCACCCAGTACTGACTTCCTGAAGGGTAAATGATTAGAATTACACAGGAATGCACAAGTGAATCATCTATTCTTGGGCCACTTTTTAGTTTTCAGGATCATGTGGACACGCCACTCAGACACCTGGATTAAGCAGTTACTTTTAGAAACTAAAGTATTAAATGCTTATATATGGCCAAGGAAATATGACTTGCAAAAATAAGAAAGTAGCACTATTGGTAGGTCACTATGGAGGTGGGTCTATAGTACATTAGAAGTAATGTTTAACCTTTGCTTTATGAATTTTAAACTATTAAGAGGTCCTGTGTCGAGAAAAATTTGAGATTGTAGCATAAAAATTGTAATAACTGTACATAAACTAGCTCATTTTCAATAACATTCTGATTTTCAAAGCAGCTAATATATTTAAGGGTAGCTCAGTCACAGATAGATGTCTCTGAGCAGCTCCAAGGACTATAAGCTCTTATGTATCTGAAACATAATTGTGCTTGAATGTTAACATCTCAAAGGCTGTTATACTCATGCCTCATTAAATGTAGAGAGAATGTTTAAGTAGAGAAAGGAAACAAAGCATATAACAAATATAGTTTCATTTTAAGATTCTCCGTATATCACAGCTACTATGCAAAATGCTGCTAATAAGGCTTTGCATTCCTATATTAGAAAATAATTATATATAAGGATAAGGTATTAAGAAATTATTTTAATAAGGTACATGGGAAGTTTCACATGTATGCCTTATTCGGCAACTACTTTGTAAGGTTTAATGCAGAAGGGGACTTACATGTCTCAGAATTCTCATTATGAGAACTGAGTGCCTGATGGAATAAATATTGGCTGATAAATAAAACTTTTCAGCAAAAATGCCATCCATTAGCTCTATTATTTAACTCTTATCTTTACTCAGTTCATCTAGCTTCCTAGAAATTTTCTTAGTTCATATAAAACCCAAATTAAATAGGCACTGCATTGTGTTTACTGAGTAGCACATAAAGGCCAGCTTTCAAAACCATGTTTTGAGAAAACTTGCAACAACAAATTTCCTACAACTGAAAGGGAGAATATGGGGTTGAATTATATAATAAATGACAATTTTAATACTGACTGTGTCTAAGATCATCAGTGGCACTTAGCACATTTAAATATCATTCTTTACCTTTTACAGTAATAGTACAAGCAACAAGTGGCAAAGATTAACCTGCACAAAAGCCTAACTGACCCAGGCCAGAGATTTATCACTCTGTAACATCCCAGGCCAGAGTGAGTTCCCCAGGACTTTAGCTTATTGCTGTTTGCAAGAGGTATGAGTCAGCAATTTAGACATGACATGAAATGCCTGCATACCACAGGTATAAGGAAAAGGCCATGGCTGGTCCAGGGCGCTCCTCCCTCTCACCTGTCTGGAGTTCGCCTCTTCCCGTTTTCGTTCACATCGAGAAGCAGCTCTGAGGAGTCAACAGGTGAGGTGGTGCTGGCATCCAAAAGCAGCTGTTCATGCTGGGCGAGGTACTGGGCAGGGTTCTGTTTGGCCAGCCTTGCGCAGTGGAGGAGCTCACGCTGCAGCAGGGGCAAGTTGGCCTGCAGGAGCATGACAGGAATAAAAGGATGGACCTAGTCCACTTTCAAACACTGATGGAGCATGCGACTTGATTAAACAACGTCACTGAAAGTATACGACAGGTTTGATTCCCAGGCACAAATTTCAGGACTGAGCTACAATGTTAGCCTTCCCCTGGGCTTGGACTGCTCCAAGCGTGAGCTTTCTGACCTTTGTAAGTCACCTCACCTATCCTGCTTCCACAACCATTGATAACATTGGGATTAGCACTTACTTATTTTTAAGGTCCTTCATACTTCAACATAATATGATTATAAGCTCTACAGGATATAAGTAAGACTCCAGTTCCATTCACGAGCAACTTTTGTTTTTTCTCCAAGGAAAACGATATGTGAAATATATACACACTTCAATTAATTTCAAATAAGTTCCCTGACACATTCAATTTTTCATCTAGTGACTGACCCAGGTAAAACAGGCTGATCCTGTGAAATATCTTTGGCTAACTACTAACTTCAAATAAAAAATATAGAAATGAACACACAAATTACTTTTAGTAATCATCAGATTCATACATTTCAGTAAAGACTTGAGTATGGTCAGATATTCAAGGTGGAATTCATGCACAAAACAGCATATACAACTAATCTGCAAAAATAATCTGCTTTCTTTATATCATCCTTATTCTTAAGAAATATATATATTTTAACACTAGAAATCCTGTGTACCCAACACTCTCACTCCTCACCAAGCCCAGCACTTTGAAAATGACTCTCAGAACATGCTTGCTAATAGATAATTCTGGCAATTTCAAATTTAATAAAAGGAAATGAGAAAATTTCACACACAGT